ATATCAATTCCCTTCTAAGAAAGTAGTAAGTTGTATTTGATAGACTACTGAAATAGCAATGAACATAATGTATGAGAAAATTTGCAGAAGGAGATGATTACTGCTTTCTATGTATTGGAATCAATAATTAAAACATGCCTTGACATGTGAAAACAGATTGAAGGTTGAGATTATTGAATGTATTGGTCACTTTTCATGTTGCTATGAAACATACCTGACAGAAACAACTTAAAGAAGGAAATACTTATTTTGACTCATTGCTTCTATCCATGATGGCTTGGGAAGGCATGGGTAGAGTTCATGGCAGCAAGAACCTGTGAGAGAGCCTTCTCATGCCTTTTTTTATTTTATTTTATTTTATTTTATTTTATTTTATTTTATTTTATTTTTGAGACAGGGTTTCTCTGTGTAGCTTTGGAGCCTTTCCCTGGAACTCACACTTTAGCCCAGGCTGACCTCAAACTCACAGAGATCCGCCTACCTCTGCCTCCACAGTGCTGGGATTAAAGGTGTGCGCCACCACCGCCCGGCTTGCCTTCTCAGGTCTTAAGAAAATCAAGAAACAGATGAGGCTGGAGAGATGGCTCAGTGGATAAAGTGAGGACTGGGGTTTGGATTCTCAGCACCCATATAGAAGCTTGTCGCCATGGTGCACTTCTGTAAACCCATGGAGAGATGGAGACAAGCATATTCCTAGAGTTTGTTGTCTGGCCAGCCCTGCTGACTCAATGATCTCCAGGTGCAGTAAGAGACCCGTTCTCAAAAAACAAGGTGAAGAGTGAGTGAAGAAGACAACAGACATTGGTTCCAGGCACACACACACACAGGCACGCTCACACCCATGTACCCATGGACCCACACATGCATGCACCCATGCACCCACTCATGCACCAAACAAAAGCAGAGAGCTTGAGCTGGAACCAGAGGTAGATATAACTTTCAACAACCACTCCCAGTGTTCCATTTCTGCTAGCTAAGTCACATGTCCTGTAGGGTCTACAGCCTCCAATCTTACATCACCAGCTACAGGGTTGTTTCACAACCACATCACAGCATCAGTGGCAACATCCCTTCTTTCAGGTTGAACAGCAGGCCCAAGTGGGCCTTTAAGTGGCAAAGATTTTGACAGTATCATCATGTATCTAAATAAGCCCTCTACAGTGATTTTTAATCTTTGAAAAATGTATTTGAATTTCAATTACCCTTTTGCAAATGCACGGGATAGTTTACTGTCTAAGCCTTTCACCTATAAAGAGAAATGCCATAACACTCACGTGAATGTTTGAGTCGTCTGTAGGGTTGACTGCTTTACCTTGTTGACTACCTGCTACTCTGAGATATTGAACCAATGGCTAAGCTTCTCCCTGGGCACATCCTTCTCTCCATCTTGCTACTGCCAAAAGAAGGCTACTCTGTAGATGGTGCTGTCAATTACCAGTCAATTTGATTGCCTGTGGGACACCCAGAGACATGCACACTCTTTAGGGTGACTCTACTGTTGCTGTTCATAGCTTAGTTGAGTTTTATCTTATGCAGAGTAGGGTCACTTTGACCGGTTATTCCTAGAAGTGACGAGTTTGATATAGAAATCCAAACTTGCTAATTCCCTAGGAGATTAATTTTCTGTGACTGTGTGTGAGGCAGATGCTAGCTTCTCATCCTCCGACTGTATTCTGAAGGGTGAAGGTTGTTGGCAGTTTTTCTTCTTTCAATCTTGAGGATGCTATTTCTTGTGAATGAAGCATTAAAATAGAACTCACTGCCTACGCCACTTCTGCTTCGAAAACTGTCCTTCAACTTTGTTCAGCTGTATCCCTCCTTCAAGCCTTGACACTGCCCACTTGTCTTCCTAAGGCAGCCACACTCCCTGGTGTGCTCTGACAGTACACCTCCCACAGACTTGATGCAATATTGAAAAGAAGATATATAGAGAATATATGTATGTTCCTCACTACTAAGCCTAATTTCAAAGTTATAAAATTAATTGGCTCATTTTTCCCTTGGCCATTAGCAAAGAGGAGATTCATAAGTCAGTGTTGATTGAAGCATATTTATTTAAATATTTAAATGATAAGAGTAATACATGCTTGTTGTAATGATTTAAACATTCCAGAAATATTTAAATCAGAATCATCTGTGTTCTCCCCCAATCTCCAAAACCTCCCTTTCCAGTGGATCACAGTTAAAAATGTGTTGTTTTAAATTCTTTTCATTTTAATTTATTTCTGCAAGATTATATCAATTCTACAAATATGTAATTGGATTATAAAAACAGAATCAGAATTTGTGTTATTCTAAAACTTTTTTCACTTTAGCATATTTTGTGAATACACTTTCAAAGTAACATTTTAAAATACAGCTCATTTAAGAGCTGGTAAGATGGCTCCATGGGTAAAAATACTTGCTGCCAAGCCTGATGACCTCAGTTTGTCCCTCAAAACCCACACTGCAGAAGGAGTAGTCCCTCTGACCTTTACCTGTATCCCCACACTCAATAAATAAGTAAATAAGTAAGTAAGTAAAGTACAAGATTTTTAAAAATAAAAACATAGTTCATTTGAAAACATGACTACATTTGTATTCCATATTGAGAATCATCAAAATTTAGGCTATCATTCTCATATTGATAGGTATGCACATTACTCTTAAGTTTTTTGCTAATAAAATATGACTTTCATGATCATTGATATACATTTAATATAGGATATATAGAGATGTTAACATATAAACATTTATATGTAATTGTATATTACAAATCCCTAACTCCTAAGAGGTAGGACTGACTGGACAAAAGTATTTGCATTATATATTTTGATTAGTAGTTCCAGGCTATTTGAAAACTGTTGAAAAATGCTGTTCTCCTTGATTCCAAGCAAACTTATTTTGCTATTTCCCTACTTTTATAGAAGGTTCTAATTTATAGCAGAGGGAAGATTTATAACTTAAAACTTTATATTTATTTTATCAACTTTTCTGAATGTTTTAATGTGTATATTGGCCTTTTCTTTTGTACTTCACCTTTTTATTAAAAATTGATTTTTTTCAAACAATACATTTTGATCACAGTTTCCTTTTCCCAACTTCTCCCAGAGTCTCTCTACCTCCTCACTCTTCAAATTCCACACCCTGTCTTTCATTAAAAAACTAATAGGAAACTAAAATAAAACAACCAAAACAACCAAAAAGAATCAAAGAAAAATTACAAGAAACACATACAGAGCAGAGAGACACACACACTTACACACAGAAATTCCATCAACACACAAAATCAAAAACCATGGTATGTAAGCAAAAAACCTATAAAGTAAAAATCTGCCCAGACAAGGTTTTATGGTACAAAAAAAAATCCCTCCAAAAATACCATTGAGCTTGTTTTGTGTTGACCATCTACTGATGGGCATGGGGCCTGCCCTTAATGTGTGGTTTGTATACCCAGTGAGACTCCATTAGAGTAAATCAATTTTTCCTTTGAAAGTGGTTGTCAATTGGAGACATGTTCTGGGTTAGGGATGGAGGCTCAAGTCTACTTCCTCTTTCAGCACTGGGATCCCATCTGTCTAGGATCTGTGCATGTCCTGTGCATGTTGCCATTCTCTGTGAGTCCATATGTACAGCAACCCTGTTGTGTCCAGAAGGCCTTGTTTCCTTGGTGTCCTCTATCCCCACTGCTTCTCACATATTTTACTTTCTTATTGTTTCTTCACTCACTTCACCTGCTTTCTATAGTTTGTTCTCTTTAATTACCCCAAAAAGTCAATTTTCTTTCTTTCTTTTTTTTTTTCCAAACATATGGTAGTTATTTTTGTCATCCATACAATTTCAAATAGGCTGTGTCTCTCCAATTCCATCCTTTACCTTTTGATTTTGCTATAAAAATGGGATTTTGTTCATCTATTACAGATTTAAATCATTAAAAATAACTTCTAGGCTGGGCGGTGGTGGTGGTGGTGCACACTTTTAATCCTAGCACTTGGAAGGCAGAGCCAGGCAGATCTCTGTGAGTTCAAGGCCAGCCTGGTCTACAGAGCGAGATCCAGGACAGGCTCCAAAACAGAGAAACCCTGTCTTGAAAAATAAACAAACAAACAAAATAACTTCTAGATTTCCTGCTCTCCTTAAAATCTTTTACAAGGAATGTGTATTTCTTTCTTTCTTTCTTTTTTTTTTTTTTTTTTTTTTTTTTGTCTTTGGAGACAGGGTTTCTGTAGCTTTGGAGCCTGTCCTGGACTGGCTCTGTAGACCAGGCTGGTCTCGAACTCACAGAGATCCACCTGCCTCTGCCTCCTGAGTGCTGGAATTACAGGCGTGTGCCACCACTGCCCGGCTAGGAATGTGTATTTCAAATAAAAGGTTTTATACATAAGTTCTCATCCCCCCCCCCCATTTTGAAGAATCTGTTTTCCTCTCCAGACTCAAAAACCCTAGGTTACACTTTTTTTTTTTTTTTTGGTTTTTCGAGACAGGGTTTCTCTGTGTAGCTTTGTGCCTTTCCTGGATCTTGCGCTGTAGACCAGGCTGGCCTCGAACTCACAGAGATCCGCCTGGCTCTGCCTCCCGAGTGCTGGGATTAAAGGCGTGCGCCACCACCGCCCGGCCTAGGTTACACTTTTGTTGCCCAAGAAGGCTTTTCTTGTAGAGAAATGTTATCTTTTTTCGTTTGTTTTTAGATTTGTGCTCTAGTGAAATTGCCAGCACCTGTTATGTATTTACTGTTTTTTAGTTTGAGATCACCATTTAAATGGGTTTGCGGTAGTGGACTAGAGTATAGAGACACTACTCACAGAGTCAGATTGATTGTCTTTGATATATTCAAGATCCTGGATTAATTCTTCAAAGACAGAACATAGTGAAGGAAACTTCTTCCTATATCCATCCAGACAGCCGGTACATTGACATACAGGCGTAAATGTATTTGTGTGTCTGTGCATGTGCGTATGTGTGTGCACGTGTGTGTGTGTGTGTGTGTTCGTGTGTGTGTGTATGTTATTGGGCAAACTTACCTCTGAATCCTCATGGCTCAGCTGCAGCCTTCGCCCTCCAACAAGCTTTCCTTTGATTTGGGAGCAGGCTGCTCTAGTATCGCGTGGTCTGGATGCTCTCCAGAAAGCTGGACTGTGCATTCTATACCAGATACCTCTTTCCTTTGAGGTCTTCATCTCAGCCTGTGGAAAGGCTCTTCTAAATTCCGTCTTTGTTCTTCCTCAGCCCTAGAAGCGTCAGCTGCTCCCTGCATCTGCTGTGCTGTTTTTACTGAGCCTTGGTTAGAATCCTTACTCCTTTTAGTAGGTGACCACGCTTCACTCCTTAATTTTTATATTAATCTTCATTGTTCCTATGATTGTGGTTTTATTCTTCAGACTTGACCTCAATGATACCTAGTTGTAGCTGGGATGTTTCTGGGAAGAAAAGAACAGAAAGAGGGAAGAAAAGACAGGGTGCACCTTTGGGGATGAGGTCACAGACACTGATGTAGGGACAAAGGAACAAAATATGAAAGGTAGCTGCAACTCCACAGAAGTCAAGTGGTATGAGGCTGAACTGGGCCCTAGAACCGTGTGACTCTCCTAACCATGGTCTGTGTATCTGCAAAGGACTACTTTGGACATGCTCAGTGTTTCCCAATCTGTGTTCTTTTAAATTTTGGCCTATGCTTGCTCCAACTGTGCATCAGGTATACTTTTATGTAATTAATATATTTTCAACCAAACTATTTTTAATTAGTAGTCTTGACTTTCAGTATAGGTATAAAATAAAAATTATTGAATAATGTAGATTGGGCCATTTTAAAAAACTCAAGCTTAAGAAGTAAGCTTTATAACAAAGTATGATGACATGTGTGAAGATGTCATTAAGAAATTCAATGTTTTTTTTATATTAACTTAAAATTAATTTAAAAATCAATAAAACCGATATGTAATCTTTAGATAATGATAGGTGGTAGTGATGTAGATTTCCCATAAATGGATTATATTGACTAGATCAAACATTTATTTACTGAAATAAAGTGTTCCTATTGAGCCAACACCCTATCCTATGACATTGCATGCAATGAACTTTGACAAAGACAAAACCAGAATACTCTCAAAGTCAACCTCTTTTAGCTACAAAATTCTGGACTATGGACCTATATGGCTTTTTATATGTTTTTGTTTTATGGAATACAAAGATAATTTTCTAAATAGTGTTTCTAATACTAAGTATGAAGATACTTTTTATAAATACTATTTTTAAATGCCAGGTGGGAAAATGAGCATTCTAAGTATGCACTTCATAACCAATTCCCAAATACTATTTTTGATAAATCAACTGAAGAATATCTATCATCTATCTGTCTTTCTATCTATCTATCTATCTATCTACTCATCTATATTTGTATTTGTGCAACTATATATGGATTTTTCCAACTTTATCTTTGATATGTTCATCTTAAACTATGTGCCATTGTTTGTTTCTTCCTTTTTAAATCCTGTTCCTTCTTTTATGCATTGGCTCATTATTCTCCCCCTGTTGGTTTCTACTTAAATCATAACTTTGAAGGACAAGATAAAACCAAATAGCATTCTCTATACTGTATAACTAGATACTAATCAAATGGTTCATTTCATGATTCATCATAGCTCAGGAAATGATTTCAATGAAGAAGATGAAGAAGAAATTTCAAGGATTTTTCTATTGTTTGTTGAGTTCTAACAATGCACATGAGATTGTGGTTGCCACAGTAACAGATCCAACTGTGCTAGTTTGTGCCTTTGTCTTTAATAACAGAAAAAAGTAGTTATTATTTTGTGTACATCTGAATTTATGTGTGTGTTCATGCAACTCTGAATACAGGAGACAGAGAGAGAGAGAGAGAGAGAGAGAGAGAGAGAGAGAGAGAGAGAGAGAGAGGAAGAGAGGAGAGAGAGATCACTACTTGTACATAGATTTATCTTTCCTTGTTGTAGTATTTCAAACCCATTTCAATTTTGTACTATCTTCTTCTCTGTATTGGCAATCTTACCACATTGTTTAATCAGTGTGGTCTCTGAACATAAAATATTAACTATAAATACAAATAAAATTATAAAAACACAGAAATCATAATCCATATAATATTTCTTTGTAGGCTAATGGTAAGAGTCCATTGAAATATTAGACAAGGGTGCTTGGAATTAGTAACGTTTCATTTGAAACCTGAAATGTGGATCTTTAATATTCCATAATGTATAAATCGTTTATTGCTGCCTTAACAGCTGTCATTGTGTTCTATTGCTTGGACCTCTTTTCATTGGCAGCTCTTTAATGGAAAATGGTGTCTTCAAAACCAAACATAGTCGTTAATACAGAGTTAATGAATGAAGAAGTCAAATGTTCTACTAGTATTTTATTTAAAGTGGCTTAGTGAGATAAAGAAAACAAAGTAAAAGCCATATAAATGGCATGCCCATAAAACTATAAGTAGTGCAAAAAAATGTCAAGAACATGCCACACTTTCTTTTCCCACATTAAAAAGGGTAGTGGTGAAAGACATCAAGCTATAGAGATTTCATTTCTGCATTCACCTTCTTGTAGCATTTGGAGCAATTTACTCAGACTGTAGGTCAAAATTCTCATAAAATGAAAGAAAGGCAGTGTTAAACCATAAAACAAGATTGTAGTAGTGTTTCAGGACATTTGTTGCTCAGGGGGAATTGTGTAAGGGCAGTTGTATAGTTGTAGACCACCAAGACAAACAAGATGATTTTTAAAAATCTTACCTTTTGTAGTCTCTTTACTCAATGGGATGCTAAGTAGTTGAAGATGTGTCAGCTTCCAAGAGTTTTGTTGAGATAAAATCCGTGATGTCATATAGTCCCAGCAGCTGAAGTATTATTCTCTCAGCCACCAAACTTGTTCAACAACAAAAAAGATAGTTGGCTAGGATCAAGCTTTGTGAATATAATCACTCTTCCTTTTAAACTAAATGACTGACAGTAACAACACACACACACACACACACACACACACACACACACACACACACACACACACACACACACAAAAAAAAAAAAAAAAAAACCAAAAAAAACCACGCAAGTACATGAAACCTGTGTCTTTAGATTTCTGATTTGGAGCACAGAGCGATGGGATTTTCTGTTCTTTACTAGAAATGTGATGAAGTGTCAAGCATGCTTAGTTCTCCTGATCAGAGCAAACATGTTTTTGTGAACTAATACATGCTTTTATCATTCGTGCATATCGTCTCCCAGGTGAAGGAAGAATTTTCAAACAGAAATCATACAAGAAAGTTCACTTGTATATGGGATTACCAAAAGATTTTTGTATTTTAAAAGAATTGAACTATCATTTCCTGATGCTTGAAATCTACCTGCCATGTGCCATGATAAGGCCAGCTATCTCTACAGGTCTGGTGGCTTCTGAAAGCAGACTGAAGGGACCTAGGTTACTTTTCACATTTCTACAAGCAAATCTCCTCAAGACATTCTCAGATATCACCTCACAGCAGATGCACAATAAATACTATCTGCTGGTGCTTCTGATTGGTAAATGTTGAAATCAATGACATAAGATGCTTTGAATACAAATTCTTTGCCAAAGTTGGAAAGAAAAGAGAAAAGCATATAAAAGCCGAAGTAGATAACACTCCTAACCCAGAAATCTAGAGATAAATCTCTGTTAATATTTGGTTATATATTTAAGCTCAGCCTAAGTGTGTATAGATATATATGGTATATGTACACAATGTATATGCTATATATATATTTATTTAAGTTCTGTCTGAGTATATATAATATATATACATACATAATACAACATACATACATAATATATAGTGTATATTATAGTATATGTACACACAAATGTATACCATATATATATACTCAAAAGGCAGAATTTAAATATATATATATATGTCATAGTAGAATACTATATTAGAAACTGTAATTTTCACTTCAACATACTGTCTTAGCTATTATTTTCTAATGCCATTAATGTTCATCACATACATTTTTCCAGAAGGATGAATCTGGTAAAAAGTACCTATAATATTAGCACTTTAGGAGCTGAAGCAACAAGTTCAAGACCAGCTGGAGCCATGTGATTAGATCTTTTTCTAAAGAAGAAAGCCAAACAGTCGAATTTCACATAGACATACATGAAAACAAATCAAAATGTACCACATAACTTAGCCTTGTCCCTTTCTAAAGCCCAAAGGAATATAAGGTTTAACTGTTTTACTTACAAGCACTTCTTTTCCTGGTTATCATCATCATAACTCTATGTAAGATGTGCTTTCTTGCTTATATGCTTTAGGCAATATTCCATTTTCTCCATGCTTTTCATGTCATGCTAGCTCATTTCCTTTCAATATCCAGCTGCTTGGAGGCCTACAGCAGTGATGCTCAGCCTTCCTAATGCTGTGACCCTTTAATACAGTTCCTCATGTTGCGGTGACCCCAAACCATAAAATTATTTTCGTTGCTACTGTATAACTGTAATTTGCTACTGTTATGAATCGTAATGTAAATATTTTGGGAGATCCATGTTTGCCAAAGTGGTCATGACTCACAGGCTAAGAACCACTGGCCTACTGTTTGTGTTTACCTACTGAAGGCTATCTTCATTACTTCCAAATTTCAGCAATTATGAATAAAGTTGCTATAAACATAAGTGCATGCACAGGTTTTTATGTGAACGTGAGTTTTCCAATTAACTTTGTAAACAGCACATAGTGTGGTTTCTGGACAGTGTGGGAAGAGTTTTCTTTGTTTTGTAAGGACCAGGCTAACTTCTGAAGTGGTTGTATCATATTGACTTTGCAGCCACGGCTCCACTTCCTCCCTAGCAGTTCACGGCAGCTTTTAGGGCCAGCTATTCTAATAGGTGTATGTATAGTGGTATCTCATGGTGTTTCAATGTGTGTTCCTTGATGTGATTAAAAAAAAAAAATGAATGTTTGCCTCCTGTATATCCTCTTTGGTGAAGTATCTCCAGAAGGTCTTTGGACATTTTTTAAGTCTGGTTGTTTCTTATTATTAAAGTTCTTTATATGTTTGAATGAAAAGCCCTTATTAATTTTTTGACAAGTATTTTCTTTTTGGAAATTTTAAAATACGGATTCAATGTCTGTTATCAGTCTTCCTTAGATTTTCTGTTTAACGTCTTAAGCAGTTCTGTTGGTTTGTTTCATCCTTCAAATCAGTCATCTAATACATCGGCATACACC